AATCTCACCACTATATGATCACAACTCTTCCTTCGAAATACACAAAAACAGCATAAACCCTAGCACACTACTGTTTGAAACCCCAGCATATGATCTGAAACATACTTCCTATTTGATCCACAACAGAAATCATGCACAGAAATCTCTTACCTTATCACTGAAGGAACAACCACACGAGCAGAAAATCAGTCCACACAAGACAGCCACTGCACCACCCAGATCGGCCCTCTTCTCTTCATCAATTAGGGGAGGGCGATCTTAGAAACAACAACAACCGACCACACAAGACATGACTGGAGGCATAGAAACCTCCAAGGGGAGAGGGCGATCACTCCATTTCAGCCCTTTTCCTTATCTCCAGTTGAATGCAGGAAAATCAAGAGAAACCCTAKATAAGGTGTGCAGAGAATAGAAATCTAGGCAGATTCGAGTGGCTCTGATACCATGTTATGATTCGGCCTGCCTTGGAGTTTTGTTTGTCTGAGATCAGTCACATAGAGAGAGGTAGAAAGGTGAAAGAAAGAGAGAGAGAGAAAAGAAGAAAATTTGGTTCGAACTGGAAGTCAAAGAACATAACTCCCATTCAGCCAGACATGTGCTTTTATTATTAAAATTAATGGAAAAGACATATGTGCCCTTATTTAAGTAAGGAGCAGTGGTTCTAACACAATATTACAGATCAACAACCTTAAACTAAGTATAAAGACAGAAATACCCCTACGCTAACAAGATGTTCCATTTTATCCAAGAGTTTCATCTCAAGGGAGAGAGAAGAGAGGGGTGTGTCTGCTCCTGAAGTTCCTCTTCCTCTTCTTGTTCTTGAAAAAGAATTGTGTCAGGAGGATCATTGTCAAAAATGTAAGGAGTTGAAGATTTATCATAGGAGGTGGAGGCGAGTTGATTCAGGTGCTCTTGATCAGCACAAGCCAGTTCTAGTTTCTTCTATAGCACCTGATTCAGATACTATTGCTTCCACTCCTGAGACTACCATCATAGAGCCATTGTCTTATACTAATGATCTTGACCTTCCCATTGTAGTTCGTAAAGGGAAACGGAGATGCACCATCCACTGCTCATTACATATCTCAGTTTCTCTCATATTATCATCTTTCCCAATCCTATAAATCCTATCTAGCATCCATTTCTACTATATCCATTCCTAAAACTCTGCAGGAAGCTCTTTCTATGCCTGAGTGGAAGGATGCAATGGAGGAAATGAATGCACTCATTAAAAATGAGACATGGGAGCTGGTTGGTCGACCTGATGGAAAGAAACCAGTTGAATGCAGATAGGTGTTCACTGGAAATATAATGCAGATGGATTAGTTGAAAGATATAAAGCCCATCTTGTTGCAAAGGGCTACACACAGACCTATGGCATTGATTACTTAGAGACCTTTGCACTAGTTTCCAAGATGAACGCTACCTGAGTTCTGTTATCTCTAGCTACAAACTTTTCATGGCCTTTGTTCCAAATGGATGTCAAGAACGTTTTCCTCAATGGTGATTTATAAGAGGAAGTGTATATGGATTTACCACCTGGTTTTTATGATACAGATGTTGGCAAGAAAGCTTGCAGACTCAAGAAGGCATTGTATGGTTTAAAGCAATCTCCAAGGGTATGGTTTGACGGGTTTAGACTTGCTCTGGAGAAATTTGAATATATCCAGGCTCATTTAGGCCACACACTTTTCATCAGGAGGGGTGGTTCCTCTTTGACACTTCTTAATGTGTATGTACATGACATTGTGGTAACAGGTAGTGATGTTGATGAGATTAATTCCCTCAAATAATTACTTCACAAGGAGTTTGATCTAAAAGATTTGGGTCATCTCCAATATTTTTTGGGCATTGAGGTGGCTAGATCTAAACATGGCATGTTTATTTCTCAAAGAAAAGATGTAGGGTACTGTGCCTTTGTTGGAAGAAATCTGGTTTCATGGCGAAGTAAGAAACAAAACGTAGTGGCTCATTCAAGTGTTGAAGTTGAATACAGATCTATGGCTCATGGAGTGGCAGAAGTTCTATGGCTGAGATTTTTACTTAAAGAACTTGGCATTGAGCATGAGAAGCCCTTAATGTTGTCTTGTGACAATCAGGCTGCTATTAATATTGCCTATAACCCAATACAGCATGACAAGACGAAACACATTGAGGTGGATTGACACTTCATTAGGGAGATAGTAACTTCCCAATAAGTGTGCTTGCCTTATATTGCCTCTGATAAGCAGCTTGCTGATCTTTTCACCAAGGCAGTCACTAAAGTCAGAATGGAAACAGATTTACACAAGTTGGGAATGCTCGATATCTATTCCCAACTTGAGGGGGAGTGTAGAGATGATGACAGGGACATCTAGTCGTTTTTTATATGTTGATAGTTGCAGGAATATGCTCCCCACATTTATTTGTTTTATTTCAAACTGTTGTACTTGTGTTTTTCTCTCTGTCACAATCGACGGGGGTATTTTTGTCATTGTACTCCTTTTTATCAAGTAATATAAAAGCCAATGAGAGGGTGGCAGAACCTGATTCATTCTGCTCCCTCTTCCTCTCATTCTCTTCTCTTTTCTTCTTCTTCTTCTTCTTCTCTCTTGAACAGGTTTCAAACTAAACCTAGGACTGCTATATCTGTTTTCAAGTGATATCTTCACCAAATTTCTACTTTGTCAACCCACAAATCCTTTTACTTCCTTTCTTTCTAACACTCATTCCATACAATAATGCATGTAGGGATGCAACATTCCCATTGACCTTTCTTTCTAAAGTCTTGGACATATTCCACATCATCCTCACAACTGGTCCTAGGGATAGCCATCATTCCACACAGAAATGAAACATTTAAAACCCCCTATACAAATGGATATAAAATATGATTATAAACTTTATAAATACTAATACCCTCTTAGGTAGAGAAATCACAGAATGCTTCTTTTTCAGATACTTTAGAATGTTACCATTTTCCCAGACCAAAGGGGTGAATGGTTCAGAAAGTGATTACTGGTGAAATGGTTATGGGATAACACTCAAGAAACATGAACATACAGATATGTGTTAAGAGAAGTTAGTAACCTGGCTGCAGAAACAATGGTCACATTCCAATGGCTTCCCAGGAGTGCAAACAGCATGGCTAATGCCTTAGCTAGGCAAGGGGTTAATAGATCTCAAATATTCTGGGGGGAGATTCCTAGGGAATTTAATGTATAATACATCTTGGTATAGGTAGCTTTCCTAGTCTACACAAATTCTTCTTTCTTTATACTTTATACATGTTTATGGTAATCAATAGAATTTTTTAGTGTTCTCAATAAAAAAATAGTTCAAGTGGAGCTGAAATGTAGGTCCTCGGTTGGATCCTTCTACGTTGCTTCAGCTAGAGGTTTGACAGATGCATTAGATGCAAGTTGTATTGATGACCCTTATGTGGCTATTGTACCTTGATAAAGGTGTTACAGTTGACCACTTACAATACAGGGACACAAATTCATAACCTTTGTTGTATGGTGTGTGTAAAGCAGCTGAAAGACGGTTAATCGCCTTTCCTCTTTTGTCCATTAACATCATTCTTATGGGAGTTAATAAGCTCATTATCTCAGATATCATGGATTTACCCCTCATCAATGAAGTAATCCAATCTTGGGTTTATGTTGCAATTAGTAGAAAGGAGAGTTGCTTTGGTCATTGGTTCCATATGGAATATGTTAAGTTGTTTGGAGAGGATGCAATCAAAGAATTCTAGACAGAGAAGAAAAGACAGTTATTTGTATGTGTTGGCCATTAGGAACATTATCATGTGGATATTTTGCTTGTAATTGGGAAATGTTTTGGGTGTTGAGGGTGGAAAACCGAAAAGTTTGGGCTTTAGGCTTTTTTATAATCTTTTATCAGCAATTGGGTTTTTTTATAATTCTTACTATATTATCATCTCCATTAATAAAGTTTTATATCACTTGTAGAAAAATCTTCCTAGAACCTAATCTGTAATTTTTTTCCTCTTGTCTATCTAGAAATTTTTATACAAGTTAGGCAATTTCTGTGGTGCCAGAAAGGTATGGTACATGAAAAATTTTAAACAATCAGAAACCCACATGAATTTGGGTGAATACCAATTGATTGGTTACCAGTTTTTAAGGTACCATAGTTGGACTCTACAGATCAACTGCGCCATTATATGTATAGCAAATACTTTAATGTACATCATGAAATATAGATTATGACCATCCAACTTACTGTTTTTCTATGTAGAAAAAAATAACATAATCTATTCGTCTTAAAGAACTAATCAAGTCCACATTGCGTCCCTATGCATCAATAATAAGATGATGAAAAAAAAAGTGAATTACCACCTGTTGCAAGCTGGAGGTTCCATATCCGGTGTAAGAAGATGATAGCAACAACTGTACCAAGGACCATTTTTCTTTTTCCAGGGCAAGTGACAAAGGTTCCAAGTACCTGCAAAATAATAGAAACTTTGAATTTTTAAACTCTAATAAGTCCCCCAATAAGCATGGGCTTCTGTCGAGTATCCAAAACTGTGTTTATATTGTATTGTTGATCAGCCATTCCAACTAAGTGGGTTTTCCCGTTATCTTGTTACCCTCAGCTTGGATGCTTTAATCCAGTGTTTTAAAAGACACACCTAATGTGCACCTAGGCTTACAGGCAAGRCACCTCTCTAAAGCAAGGTGCAACCCCTTTCAAAAGGCACATGTCCTTTTTAAATATGTTTTTTTTTTTTAGATTCATATATGTTTTATACCTTTTTAATGGTTCATCAACTTCTAAATTACCTTTTTATTGCTGTTTGCACACTAGTAATGGTCTATGAACTCTTAAAATAAATACAAACAAAGAACATTCAAATACTTAAAGCCTTAGCTACTGCAAACAGAATCTCGATAGAAAAATTTCTACTAAACAAGCAACAAAAATGCAACTAATATCCTGTCTCTAATCCTAAAATGGAATGAAATGCAATTAAAATTACAAAAACTAAATCCTTTACATACCTGGGCAGAGGGACAATCTCCTATAATTAGCATTTAGGAATGCAAGATGTTTAACAGCACACTAGCCACTTAAAGTAATGCAACTAGGAGCTAAATAAGCAAATTGAAAGTTTAACACCACAACCATGTGATCCCTTCTTAACTACTTGGCTGGTTAAATTATAGCATTCAAAAAGAATGTCTTCAGCCATTACTCCTCGTGGATTATTAAGAGCCACGAATAAAAAAAAGGGCCTGCATTCTCTTTGCTGCTTTATAGATATATTAACTTGGGAGGAAATGTATGAGAATAATTTTATTGATAAGTGATAAGAGCTCTGTGGTGGCATGGTTAAGTCAAGCTTTGAGTGAATATGTAAGCAATGTTAGAGCTTATCAGATTTAAATGTCAAAAGATCACAATGTAAAGGGGAAAAGGAAAAGTTTGATGCATGTGATGGGGATAACAGAGGGAAAGAGGGGGATTAAACACGTACAGTATAATTATTATAAAAAAGAAATGTGAAACATACTCAGTTGCTAGAAAACCATCAGTTAGCCCGCCAATGAAAATGACTTGTCGTTTGAAATCACCCATTTTGAATGCAACCTGTCCAACAAATAAAAATATTATATTACAATACAGACATAATGAGAAAACCGTACTCAAGACTTCCTTGGCTGTTCATAAGTACCAACACATCTCTTTACTTGAGGAATAGCCATTGATGAAGTTGGATGCTAAACAAAGACTAAATTCACAAATAAATGAATTTTACATATGGTTTGGGTAACCAGGTTAGCTTAGCAACTCTGTCAACTCCTTAGGACTCCACCGGAATTAAGACATCAACAAAATGTCTTGTTCGGAACCCTAATTCTACTGAAAACAAGATTTTTTTCCCAGTATCATGTACACCAGTGTTACAATAATTAACAAGCATTTCATAGCTTTTTATGTCCATAATGGTCACATACAAATATGGCATTTTTTTATTCTTGGGATCACGACCTTAATAGTGATCCTGTAAGAACTCCGACGAATCAATTAGTGAAAAATTATTTTAGAACAATGCGGTTTCGAGCTCTTTTCAATCACTGTGATCGAGTATAGCTAACCACCTTGAAGCGGACGACCAAGTAATTCCATACCAAATAATCGAACTCATGAGGTACATGAAGAAAGAATAATTCTTAAACAAAAACAAGTTCAGGAACTAAAATGATCCTACGCTCCTTACAGCATGAATTTTCATCGTGGTGAATTACAGAAATCTATGTTTTCAATCATCGAACGAGTCTTACTCAGAACTCTTTCAAGCATCTAATTCCAAATTCGTGTCTAAACAATTTTTTTAAAAGATGATCTGGAAGATTATTGCCCAAGGAGAGGAGGAAAAGGGAAAAAAAAAACAAGCCAAGAATCAGACCTGTACGGGCTTGGGGCCGTACTTAAAGAGAATGCCTTGTAGATTCTTCCGCTTGACAGAACCACCTACATCGCCTGAAGTTTTGTTGTTATTCATGTTAGGGTTTCCAGGCTTAGCAGGGCGGCCGCAAACAAAGCCGGAGAACCACGAAGTAGTTTTAAACGAGGAAGAAGAAGAGGGAGATGCAGAAGGAGGATCCATTAGAGAAACTCCGATTCAAACATCCTCATAAACGGATTCTGTATGCCGACTGAACATGGCTCCTCTCCCTCTCCCTCCCGGTCGTCGGGTTTCTGAACTCAGTAGCGTGAAACCGAGTTTTCAAAATTCCGGTTCAACTTGCCGCTGGAGTCTGGAGGGATATATATTCTGCACATTCGTTATGCATGGTCGGTTAGTTCATAATCAATCCTCGTCTCTCGGAGTAGTGCTGGCGGTACAACTTTTCTACTTCTTGTACCCTATACAACTGCATCCTACACCACTATTTATGAACATATCATTAGTTCACATGTTCAGGTGGTCCGCCACGCAACATTCCAGATTATGGCGACTCCTATCTCTTGATAGCAAAAACAATGCGCACGTAGTATCGAGACACACACCAGGAATATCTCCCTTACATGTGAATCTGGGTTTCATCCCCAAAAACCGGCTCCAACACCATTGGAACTGTGCATTGGGAATTTTTCACAGTGACCTTTTGTTGGGATTGATTGTTGTAACCTTGTGTTGGGATCATATCCTAAATCCATCCAAGTTAAATTCATAACTAATGTTTAGATTTGCAAGCTTTTAATTACTTCAATGGTAAGATGACCTTTTTATAAGTTTTAGGTAATTCGCCACAAGGGTTGAAATGGTGGCTAAAACTTACCTTCTGATTTAGATTTATTTATTTATGGGTAAAGTACTTAAACTACCCCTAAGTTTTAGGAAATGAATTGAAACTTACCCTATCATTTGACAAATCCTTTAAAGTATCTCTAGGTTTTTTAACAATTAATTATCATTAATAACCACTAATGGAAAGATAAAAAATACTATTTCACCCTTCATTTTTCTTCAAAATTTCAAAATAATAACATTTAAATAAATAGCTCTGGGTGTGGCCAAAGAAGTTGTTAAGTGAGAGATCCAAGAAGCACGAGTTGACAAAATCTAGAATGAAGTTGGGTAAGTCACCAACGAACAAGTTAAGGGATAGATTCAAATGGTGAAAGTGGGAGTAGGAAGAAATGAAAGCAAAAGAAAGAGAACCATTAAAGAAATTATTAGTGAGGGAGAAGTTCTAAAGGGTGGGAATGTGGTAGAAATTAGTGGGAAAATAGCTATAAATGAGGAGTCAGTCCAGAGAGGTCAATAAAAATAATGAATAGGGAAAAAGGATTGCACACAATGTCAGTCCAGTTATAGGGAGTAATGATGACAACCTGAGGGGATAGATTCCAATCAAAAAGGTGACTAGTGGGATCATCGAGATGAGCAATCTTCACTCCGGCCTCATTTGTTTACAAATTTCTCACTTACCTGTGTAAGTGCACTTACTTAGGTAAATGTTTCCTACATAACACTTACCTATGTAAGTTCACTACTCATATTCTTTTGATTCCCAAGTAATGATATTTTTATCAATAAAAAGATAATGTTAAAAAGGGAAAACTTGTCCCATCATGTTTTATAAACTTTTCCCCTGTGGGACCTAGTACTTAATGCAAAAAAGAACATGGTAAAGTTGGTCAATGGGAAAGAGATACATATTGACCAACATCCCCCCTTTTATTTACCGATAAAGGAATAGGGCCTCAAAGTAAGATGGTAGTCCACTGTCTCTAAAAAAGCCTGCCCCGAGCCCGAGCCCAAGCCCGACTTGATGCTATATATTAAATAATAAAAATATATTTTTATTTAATAAAAAATATATTTTTATTTAATAAAAAATATATATACAATATCTTTTCTTTCTTTTTCTTCTCTTTTTTCCCAAGTAATAGTGAGATGTTTATTATTTTTGAGTTTTGAAGATTTTGAATGTAAATAAAAACACTTTTTTATTGAATAAAAAAAAAGAATTTTTTTTGTTTTCAAATTTCTAGTTGGACTCGGGCTCGAGCTAGTCTACAGGGTTTATATGAGGGCTGGACTTGGGCTCAAGACGTAAGCTCGATGGTCGGCCCAGGCTCAGGCTTGATCCTAAAAGTATTCTATTGACACATACAAAGCCCAGCCCGACCTGACCCATGAATAAATCTAGTCACCAGAGAGGTGGACATAATAATGGAGAATCAATTACGGTAATATTAAATTCTGACAAATCAGGAGATAATTGGGAGTATTCCGTCAGAAAAGCCGTTACCTACTAAACAGGATTATTCAAAAGTTAGAGGAAAATCTCTTATAAGGAAAACAATTAGGAAGGAGGAATTACTTATATTGGAGGATAACGATGATATGATGATGGACAAGGCCCCAATTTCTCCTATAGTTGGAGGACGTGACAAGGAGGATTTAATTACCATGAAACCAAGTAGAATTCATGTCATTGGCAACCCAGCTAGCCAAAAGAGTAAAAGAAAATTTATGATTCCAGATGAGCTGAACTTGGATGCTGGCCCTTCAAGAACCAATGGACATTTAAATAATCTGTTCCGAAAGGTCCGACCAGATTTCTTTTTCATCTCTGAAAGTCATTGTAATGTGACTCTATCACAATTCATTTTAAATAAATTTTCAGACTTTTCATATTTGACACTGGATAGTGTTGGTAGATCCGATGGTTTATGGTTAGATTGGCGTGATTCTATTCGCATAGATGTTGTTCATAACTCTTCTAATGTCATCATGATTAATGTTCATAACTCTCCAGCTGCTTGCTTTCGGTGGGCTCTTGTTTGCATGTATGGTCATCCAATGGCATTTAAACGTCATGAAGTGTTTTCTGAAGCTTCTAGACTAATCCTTGATAGTGTACGTGCTCATGGGCCCATACATGGCCCATGCATGAGTTCTAAACAGACCGATTCCAAGCGTGATTTCCTCAAGAAACCAAATTTTGTGGACTCTCTTAGATAATATTTTTATTTAGGATAATCCTTCTCTTCATCTAGGATAAATTCTCTTGTAGATGTAATCCGGATAATGTAAAACTCTTATCTCTTATTTCTTATAATCCTAACGTAAACGAAACTCTTTATCTATAAATAGATTGGCTCTCAGCTCTATCAACACAAGGTTAGCCGATTTATTTTTTAGTGCTTTCTCTCTACTATTCTTTATTATCTTCTTTACTGTTGTTATTTTTATTTCTCTTGTTACTTTAACTTGGTATCAGAGCTAATGTCGACTGAAACCAGAACAACACACAACAATAGACCATCTCTTTCCAACAATGGTCATTCACCAACGACCAATTCGCTCCTCTCAATCCAAAACTTCACTCACTATTTTCCTATCAAGCTTGGTAGTGATAACTACCTGTTATGGTGCACCCAGTTTCTTCCTATTCTGCAGCATCACCATCTCATGGATTTTGTCGAAAGGAAGAAGAAGCCCCCGCTTGAACTTATTCCAAATCCAGACGGTATGTGAACAATCATCAACCCAGATTTCGAGAAGTAGACAGACATAGACCAACTCATGTTGAGCTGGTTGATCTCTTCTCTTACAAAGGGTGTTATGGCTCAAGTGGTAGGCTTATCAACAGCAATTGAGGTATGTACTTCACTTGCTCGTAGTTACTCTACTCATTCCCGATCTAGAATTCTGCAGTTGCAATGACAACTACAAAGTCTCAAAAAGGGGTCACTTTCTATTTYTGCTTATATTCAATGTGTTAAGTCCATTGCTGACAGCCTATTCATAGTTGTTGAACCTGTTCACAAATCAGAACTTGTTCCCTATATTCTTGTCGGACTAGGGAGTGAGTACGAATCTGTAGTTACTGCACTCTCAAACAGATCTGACGCAGCTGATCTTGGTATTGTGGACATTATGGGAGCTCTCCTTAATTATGAGAGCTGGCTTGAACAAAGGTAACCCTCAAAAACCTCCAAAACAATTGTCTCCAGCGTTCAATAATAATAGAGGTAGAGGACGAGGTCGTGGATCTCCCCAATACAATCATCAATCTTTTAATCAGTCTCAACAATATTTTGGAGGTCATGGTGGTAAGAGCAAGATAATCTATCAAATTTATAACAAAGTTGGACATAGTGCTCTTCAATGTCGTCGAGCAAAAATACGTTTTTGGTTTTACTAATGGTAACACATACAATGAGCCATCTGCCTTTCATGGAGGTGTAAGTACCCCTCAATATCAGAACTCTTATAGTGAAAATAGCTTCGACCCCAACTAGTATCCAGATTCAAGAGCTACATATCATATGACACTGGATTTGGATAATCTGCAAAATCGGAGTGAGTATACTGGTCCAGATCAAGTCAAGGTTGGAAACGGTCAAGGTTTGCACATTTGACATATTGGATAGACTTCTATGTTGTTTAATCAACATGCTTTTTCTTTGAAAGATATCTACCATGTTCCCTCTATCTGCAAATATTTATTATCTGTCAGTCGTTTTACAAAGGATAATGATTTATTTTTTGAGTTTCACCATGATTATTGTTATGTGAAGGATTATTCTGGGAGAATCCTGCTTCGAGGGGTTAGTAGAGACAGCTTATATAGCTTCCCTTCTTCAGTCACCATAACACCAGAAGCTCTCGTCAGGGAATAGACGTCTATCCATAGATGGAACCTTCGACTTGGTCATGCAACTCTGCATATCGTGCGACAAGTTGTTTCAAATTTTGGTCTTCCTTTTGATAGGTCCACAACTAGTCAATCAATTTGTGAGTCATGTCAAATGGGTAAGAGTCATAGGTTGTCTTTGCATTCTTCTAGTTCTAAGTCCAAGGGACCTTTAGATTTAATTTTTTCTAATGTATGGGGACCAACTCCCATTAAGTCAAATGATGGATATTCATATTATGTTATTTTTATGGATGATTTTTTAAAATTTTCTTGGATATATCCTATGGCTCAAAAATCAGATGTATTTGATTTATTTCTTAAGTTTAAGAGGCATATTGAAGTTCTCTTTGATACTAAGATCAAAGCCTTCCAATCTGATTGGGGTGGCAAATATCGTCACTTATCCAAGTATCTTGACTCTCAAGGAATCACTCATCGACTTGCTTGCCCCCACACTCATGAACAGAATGGATCTATTGAACAGAAGCACTGCCACATTATTGAATCAGATGTCTTTGCTGGCCACATCAAAACTCCCCTTCTCCTTCTGGGTTGATGTGGCTGAAACTGCGGTTTTTCTTTATCAATTGGCTGCCTTCTGCGATTCTCAATGGTATGTTGCCTTATGAGAAGCTATTTCATACTACTCCTGATTATTCCATGCTTTGCTATTTTGGATGTGTTTGYTATCATTTCTTGCGGCCGTACAA